GGCGCGGTACTCACCAGGAAGCTGTAGAAGAACTCGTGGACGAAGAGGCCCAGCATGCAGACCAGGACGTACGCCACGTGGTAGAGAAAGGCCACATCCAGGATGACTGCGCGGTACCCTCGGGTGAACGTGCCGCGGTTTCCCACAAAACTCACCAGAAACACGATTTTATTACAGAGCTGCCGGGAGGAAGAGGGGAGGTTACTGCCTGGTTTAGGATGAAGCACACAGAAAGAGCCGGACATTGACAACGCCTATTATCACCACGGCTGTCACGTTCTTTCATGATTGCTCATCTTGTCATTTTTCAGCAGTGCCGACAAAGATGCATGTGGACACGAAGCCCGAGAACGCTGTATTCTTTGCAGTTCCCGGAAAGTGAGGAGAAGGATGAAAAGCGAGCTCTGGCAGCAACCAGGACAACCTGAGCCTAAACTGTGCTCCGCCTCACTGCTGCATGACCGAAGTCAAATGACTGCATCTCCGCCAGCTACACTTGGTTCTTCTGAAACCCTAGAACAAAACCATTCCCTAAGCACTCATCGGACTCTTCGGAGGATCACCTGGCAGAAGGCACAAAAAGCCCTGAAGATGACTCTGTAAATTTGTTATTTTTATTATTTTTTCCAATGAAAAGCAATACAATCAATACTTTGAAAATATAACAACAACAACAACAATAACAAAATTCTGGTAACTTTCCAAGATCTCTCCTTGATTTTCCACCATCCACCCACCGGAATTTTTTTGGCTATTACCATAAGCAAATTATTTAGTATTTAATTTACTTTATATATATAGAAAATATAAATCTGCTCATGTGTATAGAATAAAATATAATGTGTACATATATTCTAAGCTCTACACGTGGTAATTACCAGTAAGTACTTTTCAGTGGTTATTATATGCTTCTGGTCATGCAGGCTATAGTCAAACAATATTTAAAATTATCTTTTATGGCATAATTTTGAAATGTAGAAAATGTATACTGATACTCATTGACAAAAGCAATGATTTATACCATGATTTCCAAAGAACAACATTCTCATAAACACTGAGCCATCTAATTGATTCTAGAATCATTGCACTAATTGCCAACTAAAGAGAAAACAGTAATTTTTGTTCATTAGTCACCAAGGGAAGAATTACCGTTTTGAAGAAGAAAAGAATGGCCGATTCCAAGATTCCATTGTCCGTCCTAAAGAGACCCTTGAGTTCTTTATATGATGTAATGACTCCATATTTGGCTTCACACGTCTAAAACTATTTGAGGGGTGTTGTTTTTAGAAACATTGTTGATTTTTTCCAATATTTATTAAGCAAATTGCCTTATGGGATCATTTGAAATAATGTAAAAAGATGCCCAACCCTTTGGGACACAAGTGGAATTTGAGAAGTTGATATATCTTTCCCTGAAACTTTCCGAGGGCCCAAGTAAATTCTGATGAAAGGAGAAGTTGATAATTGTTGCATGTTGTGAACACGGCCGATTCAAATCAGCAACAGGGAAACTCCAAGTTCAACTTTTATCAAATTTTGCTCAAGCTGCTCAGCTATCTTGTCAATGCTCAATGCTATTTTTACTTCTTTCATCATCTTGTTAACAACTTGAATAAAGTCAAACAGCAAAGATCTCACTCCAGTAGTTAGTGTTCTATCATTGCCTGCTGATGCTATTATTAAACACAGTTGTATAATGAATGTCCTTATATTTACTCTCCAAGAGTAGGTTTGATGTCTTAAGAAATTATTATTGAAAAACAGGAAACATATCTAAGGCGCACAATGAGTTATATTTGACAAAAAAAAACAACACCCTAATAAAATTGATGAAAAAGAGACTGTCTGGGTGAGGTAACATTCACCAGTCGATTCTGTAAATTTTCAGTCACTATTATTTAAGTGCACTTTATTTATTTAGACTTATCCACTATGAAATTCAAAAATGAAGTTCTATAAAAATGAAGCTCAAAATTGGGTTCATGTCTTTTGAATATGAATTAAATGTTTAAGATAAATTGTTTATACACTTATTCCTGCTCCTATAGTTCCCCAAACTGAATCACAAAAAATATGTGGGAAAACCATTTATAAATCCTGTCCTGTAAGAAAAATAATGCGCTGAATTCAAGTTCTCAAAAAGAATGAAACATTTCAGTTCTCAAATAATTCAAAAACATGGATAACATTTCTATGTCATTTTTATAAGAAAATGTATAGATTTGCCGTATTTCAATATTTGGTGGCTGTTTCTCAAACCTTGGTCTACAGCTTGATAGGACTGTCTCTGCTTTCTTGACAGGCTGAAAGGAAGTGATGTAGTCTACGATTATGGTGGCCCTCATTTTCACTGCTCTTGGTTTTGAAGCATTCATACCAAACAGGAGAAGTGCAAAAACTAAATGATTTGGGTAGGAAAGAGGTTGAAACCTGGTTTCTCTTGAGTCAGGACCTCAAAATTTACAAATTGTTTTATGTAGCATTTTCCATACAAACTGGCAATTATCTGTGCCAAGAATGATGTTGCAAAAAATGACTCCCTTTTTAATATTTTTCATTTCATAGCTTATTTGTGCTAAGAAGCCTTGGGGAACAATGGTTAAGTGCTCCAGTGCTAGCAAGGGTTGGCAATTCAAACCCGCCCAGTGGTTCTGCGGGAGAAAGTCCCAGTGACCCACTTCCACTAAGGTTACAGCTAAGAAAATCCTGTGAGATGGTTTTATTCTGTCACACAGGGTTGCTAAGAGTTGGCAATGAGTTTGATGGCACACAAAAAGGAAAACACCAACCAGTCTTTATCTGTCGATAATAGTATGTAGCCAATCAGAGCTCACATGGAAAAGTGTGGGCAGCACTTTGGGACTCTGTGTGAGCAACAACATGGGAACTGAGCTGGACCTCCAAGGGTACCACAGTTACACCCTCGTTTGCTAAATGAAGGATCAATCCTTTTAATCGGTGGTTTGAGTCCACCAGCCACTCCACCAGAGGAAAATGTGGCAGTTTGCTTCCATAAATAGTAGGCTTGTAAACCCTAGAGGGGCACTTCTACTTTGTCTTATAGGGTTAATATTAGTTAGAATCAACTGAACAGCAGTTAGGTTAACAATATAATCATCTGACACGATACCCTAGACAATCTCCATAGAATTAAACGCCAATTTATAAAATCCCATAAGACAGAATAGAACTGTTCCAAAAGGCTGAAAGCTTTACAGGGGTCTCCTGGTGGTACAGTGCTTAAAGTGCTGAGCTGCTAAACAAAGGTTGACAATTAAAACTCATCCACACTGCAAGGGAAAAAAAGTGTGGCAGTCTGCTTCATGAAGATTTGCAGTCTTGGAAACCCAATCATACCATATCTTTCTACTAGGCTGGTGGGTTTCAGTCAATCTTTTGAATCATTGACCTATCATTTAGCAGCCACATGCTTAACCAATGCATACCAAGACTCCTCTGGGGACTGAACAAATAACCACAAAGTCAAAAGATAAATAAAAATCAATATGCATGACCATAACTCTGCCATAGCTTTTCCTTTCTCCACCTATTTTTCAAAATGCCCCTGATATATATATATATTTTGTTGTTGTTGTTGTTGTTGTTGTTGTTGAGATGGTGGAAACAGGGTGAATATCTAGGGAAAATATGGTGGGAAATGGAATCTTCTACGCAACAGATCTAAAAACTAAAGCAAAACTAGAATCTGTTTGCTAACAATATATATATATATATATAAACTTTATTAAAAATCAGATTATGTCTGACTGTCACAGAGAATATACTCTGAGATCTTAAAGGCTTGTCTTAAAACAAGTAGTCAGCACACCACATTGTGTGATCCAAGGATTGTAAATAATAAAATCAAAGACCAGAGGATGGACTGGTATTAGAGCTTTAAACTATGGTGTGGCAGTTACATAATCTTCTGTCAACTTGAGAGAAAGGGTGGAGTCTAGACTGTCAATCAGGTCACAGCCAATGAGACCTCTGTGTGGGCATGGCCTTCTCCTGAGGATTCTGGGAACTCCTGTCTTTCTCTCTGGAGGCGGGAGACATCTACTTGACATTCCTGTTGACAAGCCACATGGAGACACACTGATGGAACTAGAACCCTGGAGCTGGAGGAGCCATGTGCAGAGCCAGGCCAGCACTAAGATGTTTCCACTGCCACTGGATCCATAAGACTTTCCATCCACTGACCTGTGATCTTCCTGCATTCGGCGTCATTGCATGGGTTGTGTGAGTCCAAAGAGTAAATTATAGACTAGTATTGGACATATGGGCTCATATTGGACTTAAGGCTTTGATCTGGACTGGGCTGGGATGTTTTCTTTTTTTGGGGGGGGATGTTTTCTTAATAGACAATTACTCTTTATAGAAAGCTCTTTCTTATATACATACAAGTGTTTATGAATTTGTTTCTCTAGTCACCTCAGACTAACACAATGAGCATCCAATTTGCAGAAGGATATGGATGACAACAAAAGCCCCAAATCCATTTGCAGGGTCCCCAGTTGCATTATGCCTATGGAGATTCTCCTCTGACCACTGACCAAGATGTGACTACGCAAAAAATTTTAAAGCAGTTTCACTTATGTAAATTAATGACTAATTAAAGTTCTGTTTTCATAGATATACTTTATAATTCACTGAGCAGTGCAATATAATGGACGTACTGCGTTGGGAGGTGGGCAATCTGGTTCCAGTCTTGGCTTTGCTACTGATTACCCAAGTTACTTTGGTCAATTCTCCTGATCTCTGTAGGGCCCTGTTTCTTCACTTACAAATGATGTGTCTAGAAGTAAATAATCCTAAAGATGCCCCACATCCATAGAATTCTGTGTAATGTCCTTCAAATTTAATACTGAAGTGATCATGGAGATGTATCACTGTGCCTCCCTCTTTTCAGCATTGGGTTGGCCTTTTCTGCGGCTGGGTTCCTGATTCTGAATTCTATGCTCATTTCACACTGTTCCAATGGGAAAACCTGACCTATTTTCCAGAAGTAAAATGCAGGAAAAAATATAAGTAAATATATAAAGGCTCCTTGTCTACTTATTTATTGAAACATAAAATTAAATTTATTATGTTGAATTGCATTTTAGATGCATTACCAAATTTCTAGCAACCACGTAAAATCACCTTCTTACTAAAACTGAGGTATCTTGACTTAAAA